ATGTGGATTTTAAAGCCTACCATGGAGCGAATTTGTTTTGGTCGTCAGCAGAGTTCTAAATTTTTTCTTTATAGTTTCTTCACCGAGACGAGGCTCGATTTGATCGTCAGTAGTGCCCTATTCCCTATTCATTTTTCTTAGAGTCCATGTTTCAGATCCGTGATGAATGTAGCTAGTTTGATCCTTATATTTGATATACAACAAATGCATTAATTTCCTGGATATAATTTTTGCAAAAGAGTCCTATGCCTGCCTAATAAATGCCTGCCCTCGAATGCACATTTCAATCGTTCTCTAAACCGCGCTCGTAAGTCGAGGGACGTAACCGTCCGACATAGAAATGAAATGATTCTCTTCTGTGTGCAACTTGATAGTAGCAATGACCTTTATGTGGGTCAACGGCGTGCTATGTGCTCTCTGTATATATTTTGTATTTGTGTGTGTGTATGTGTGTGTTTTGTGCGCGCGCACAACATTGTCCTATACATATATATATGTGTATTATGCACATGTACATATTAATTTATAGAACACTTCACAGGTATGTAGTGAGGGTAACAAAGTTGCAACTAGTGGTGTATGGCATCGTGCCTTAAGGCAAATTGTTCAGAAACCTCTGAAACGTAAAGATATATACATTGTGCGTCGTGCTCAAGAGCTATACATACATATATATGTGTATACTTATACCCATGTACATATTAATTCATAGAACAGTTCACAGGTATGTAGTGAGAGTAAATAATAATTATATTATGGGTGTTCCGTGGCGTAAACGGTTAAACGCACGGGACTCGTGTGGATGCATATGTAAGTTCGAAAATCGCTCTGACATCCTGACATCGTGTAGTAGTTATTTTCACTTGAAATTATAGATGAAAATGAGAAATCTCTCACACTATTTTTCCTTCATTGAGTTGGAGTTTAACTTACGGACTTGCCTTAGGGCAGTACCACCATTACTTATTATTAAGATAATTACGGTTAGTATGTTCATAAAACCAAGTACTTTATCGTTATATCAAGTAAATCGTCTAATTTCAATTTTAACAAACGCCAAAAAAAACTACTCATTTTGTCGAACTTTGATGAATTTTTTAAATTAAACTACTTATCGTGAGGCCTTGATATTTCAGTAAGTTAGACCACGATACATATCATCAAAAAAAGTTCCATAGAAATCGGCTCAATTTTTTTTTTCAACAACGAATTACAAGAAAACGGCTCGGTAGATTTTTACTCAAAACTAATCAGTATCATTCCCAACTAATATCTTTCAAACAGTTTCTGATTTTTTAAAATTGATTTGGTAGTATGAGCTTAAATGTGGACGTAAAGTTTTACACTTTTTTCCAACTTACAAAGAAACGTCTCGGCCGATCGTCGCACAAAATTGACAGTACGCGATAGTCCTCATTGAGACACATCAAATAGTTTTTATTTAAATTTCTGAAATCGGTTTAATCGTTTTTGAGCAAACGTCGATGAAAGGTCTAATTTTGGTAAATGCCAAAAAAAACGATACTAATTTTTGCAAACTTTGACGAATTTTTAAAGCTAAACGACTTGTTGTAGGGCCGTAATATTTTAGTATGATCTATAAGACTATGGTATCTACCGTCAAAAAAAAATTCATAAAAATCGTCGAAAAAAAATTTTTAAACATTTTATTACAAGAAAACGACCCGGCCGATCTTTACCAAAAACTAATCAGGTCGATTCCCAACCAATATCTATGGAACGGTTTTTGAATTATAAAAATCGATTCAGAATTGCGGGCTAAAACGTGGACGAAAAAATTTTCATTTTCTGCTATTTACAAAGAAACGGCTTGGTTGATCGTCGCGCAAAATTGATAAACCCTGGTCCTCATCGAGATACATAGAATAGCTTTTAAATTTTTGAAATCGCCGTTTGAAATAGCCGTTTTGAGAAAACTTCGATTTATGGCAAAAAATTTGTTCACACACACACACACACATACTTTTTCCTTAAATTTAGTTACATTCGATTCAGAATGGCTTGAAACGTGGAGAAAACACAAAATTAGCTAATCGGATTTTTTGATGAAAAACATAAACTTCTCCTTCGAAGGTAATAAGAGCAGCAGCATTAAGAGTAAGTTAATAACTAAATTAAGCTTTTAAGAGCATTAAGAGTAAGAGTGGTTAATAGTAAGTGGCATTAAGACAATTAAGAGTAAGACCATCAAAGAAAAGTAGGATATTTATGAGTAGGATATTACCGGGTAATGATATATTAAGATTAAGACTCAATCGACAGATGACGTTACGTAAAAAAAAGTACTTGAACTTGCTCAGGAGCAACAGAGCGAATTGTTCTCTCTAGTAGTGAGTTATTGAATTTTGTCTTGGAGAAGAGAAAGTTATTGCAGTTATTCGCATACGCTTACATAGACAAATATATATATATATATAGATAATATATATATATATTAGGGTGGTCCTTAATATGGACATTTCGAATTTCCTTGCTCCCAAGGGCTCAAATGGCTCCAAATGATAAAAAAACAATCTCTGAAAGTGTTAGCTCTTAATATTGTCTTTTAGATAGAGCGCAATTCAATCAAAGTTTTGTATAGAAATAGCATGAAAAAAATTTCAAAAATTTTGCGGGGCGTCGAATTTTCAATAAAAAATGACACGAATTTTCACTTTTAATTCATTTGTCGCTAAGTTATGCTTTAAAATTTTTTTTTTAATTTTCAAAATTTTTTCCATGCTATTTCCATAGTAAGTTTGGTTGAATTGTACACTATGTAATAGTTAATATAAGGAGCTAAAACTTTCAGAGAATTGAGCCCTTGGGAGCAAGGAAATTTAAAAAATGTCATATTAAGGACCACCCTAAATATATATATTATATTATATATATATATATATATATACAATATATATATACATATATATATATATACTAGCATACCCAGCCACGCTTTGTTGTGGCTTTTACAAAAAATCCCGGATTGAAATTTGAATGTGATAAACACCTCAATACTCTTAATATTTTTTTACATTTATATAAATAAAAAAATGTTATAATTGCTCATAACCTAAGTTGGATATCAAAGCATACGGTGAGCCAATAAAATTTAAAATCGGCTCAGTAGTTTAGGATTCATTCCGGACAAACATCGTCACATGCACTTTATAATAGGTTGTCAAATATCTCCCTTCCGCCTTT